TCTGGGCCTCAGCAAAGGCGAAGACTGACTTCCTCTGGTTCTGCAGTAGCATGGAGAAAATGAGGGAGGCAAAAGCCGTGTGGAGCAAAATCCAAATGGATATGGCCAGTCACGAGGGAAACTCTTTGAAACGCACAGCAGCGAGCGTGTCATTCCATCGTGGAGGTGTTAGCGGTGATTAGAAAAACGCCCAGTGTGGCACGTGAATGTAGAGGTTATAATCAGTAGGACGAAACATGCAGTCAGACATGAAAACAGGCTACAGCTTCATAAGAAGTTCACCATAACGACGGCGTTATGTTTCTGCTGCACCGTGTTGACAGGGAAAATGTGTTGATGTGATCTAGAAATGTGAACATTAATTTAATAAAGAGGATATTTTTATACATAATTCAAAATTGAAACAAACTATCCAAAGTCACACTAGCTCTAAAACCAGCTTCTTTACAGGATGTTAGGAGTATTTTCGACTTTTCTGAGCCAGTGAGAGACACAGAAATCATTCAGGTGTTGTTAGTAAAGATCAAAACTGATGATTTAAAAACAAAAAAACCTGCATTGGAACATTTGTGAGATGACGGCAGTGGATAGATAGTGTACTATATATGACAGGACAATCTAGTTTTTATGAATGAACTATGTTTCTGAGGGCACAGATATTAAGAGTTACTATTAAAGGTGAGTTTTGTTGATGCTTCTTTAATGTAATAGTTTTTTTTTCTGACAATGAGGTCACACTAGTTCCCTTTTCATACCAACTTAAAGTCCCCATGTTAATCTCATTTTCAGTTTTGTTCTGAGGTTTAGAATTATGGCATCATTTGAATGTTAAAAAATACTTAATTTTCTCACGCAATGCACTGCAATTATTAGAACTTGTAGATACACCATAAAGTAAATCTCCAGTAAATGTTAACCTGGAAAAAAGGGCTGTTATTTAACCCAAATGATCAACTTTTTCTAACTTTGGATGGATAGAAAGGTGATGCTGATAGCCTGCAATCACTCTGAGTAAGCACAACTCATCTAAAACATCTCTTTGCAATAGGGGACTCCACTCAGCTGGTTGCCAACTGGTTATTTTCTAATATAAAAGCAAGGTCATGACTGTCCGTGTCATTTTTCTGTTAAATTGCTAATTTTTCTAAATTTGCGTGTCAAATCTGTGGGTTTCTGGCTGGACATTAAAGTAGTTGATGCAAATTTCTGTGCATGCAGAAAGCAACAGGTTGGTAATTTTCACTATTATATAACAGTTAATCACCATCTATTGCAAACAAATTGCAGGTAATTGCCAACTTGACTCCATGCAATTGCAATGTGATTGAGTAATTCCATCTTTTTGAAGTGTTAGCATTGTCTTGACGCACTAAAGGCATTCTGAAGACCAGGTGTCAGTGGTTGATCCAAATCTTCAAAGCAACCATTTCAAAGCCAACAAGCCTGCAAGGTCATTACTTTGTAATCCTGCCGTGCCCAGACACTTCCCTTTTGTGAGAGTAGCATTAAGCTGCTTTTTTAGGCAGCAAAATAGATAATGGGTGATTTGAAAGCACAGTAACCCTTTAAGGGTTTCACTTCAGTTGTTTTGGATTTTTGACTGAGAGCCAAGAACCACACACACTGAACATGACATAAGGAGCACTGAGGGGCTTGGAACAATTCAAAGTACAAGGTTAATACAAGAAATCAAAAACAAGTCCAACTCTACTAAAATTCAAACATATCAGGACTCTGGAATAACCACAGATACAACTTTTTTCCTGCCTGAGACATTTTAGTTACCATAAGCCGCTCTAGTGAGGAAGCTGCAGACTGAGAGGCAGCTCTTTGTTATTAGTTTAAGGAGGAGCCACACTAGATGTGAGGTGTTATTTATGCAAGTGAGGTGAAAAGCTTGGACTGGCAACAGGGAATTCAGCTCGATTGTGGTAAGTACTTTCCGTGAGTAACTTCCTTCAGTGTGCACTCTGAACACTAAAGCTACTCCATAAACTGGAGGAAAGGGAAAACCCCCAATAAGCATATTACTGGATTTAAATGTTGATTTTGGCAGCTTTGTGAACAGGTTTTTCATAATAGCTTCAAAGGTTTCATTATGAAATTTATGCGTAAGTTCAGTGATGAAGATCTGTTGTCACTCACCTGTCTGCTTTCCAGGTTTTGGCTAATCTAAGTTTTACATCGCTTCCACTTTCCCACGCTGTCCAGCTGATTGTGACATCATGGGTCTAGTCTGATCAACTTTCTGCCGGCCTTTTTCTGGCCATGTAGCTTTCAGTCCGCATGCTTTAAATCTCACTGTGCACCTGTCATTTTTCCTTGCAGTCGCCTTTGTGCAACCCACCTCCTCCCAAGCCTCCACCTTCATCTCCACCACCAGCGTCTAGACTTCGGGGAGTCCTGTCCTAATCGCTGTCACCGCTGGGATTCAGTTTTGCTCCCCTGGGCTGTCGGGGTCTAACCGCTAAATACCTGAAATTGAGGTCAATTAAACTTTGAGCCATAAACTTTTATGCAAATTGGAGATGACCTGAATGATATACAGGAAAATCAAAAGAATTGGGATTTATATTAAAAGCTTTTAAAAAACATATATATTTGAAAAACTGCTGTGTGTGGGGCAATGTTTGTGCAAGGTTTCATTCTGATTGGCCTGCTCGTTAAGGAGGAGAGGGTGCATATATACATACACATCATTATAGTAAGAGATATCCTTAGAATAACTGGTATATTTATTCTATTTATATCGATTATAGTGAAATAAAGTTACACAGAATGTGTCAAATTTAAAACAATGAACGAGTGCGGAGACACACTGTAATTTTACAGATACACACTGGGTTTATTGTCCTGTTACCAAGTATATCCACCATGCATGAACATCAGGCAGTGTAAGGATGCGTAAACATGGAGAGTGCGCCTCAGCTGCAAGATATGGTGATGCAGTCCCGCAGCTTGTCCTGAGATCTAAAATAGGGACAACAAACATTTATTCAGAGCTGCCGTTTTAATGATGAGGACTCCGCGGAGGTCAGGGTTGATGTTTAAAAAAAAAAGAAGAAAAAGAGTGCAGCTCTAATGGCTGCAAAATAATAGAATTCTTATACACATTTCCCCGCTGCTCTCTGAACCCTCTCCTGTCAGAATATCAATTCCTGTGTTCTCACTCTGTGTGCATTTTCCACAAACATGGAAAATAAGTGTGCGTTTGCGTCACACATCCCTTTTCTGTCTGCGGCACAGTAAACAAATACACAGTCAGTAGTTCCTGGTCTCAGTACAACCACAGGGAAATTGATCTTCCTTGTTTTGACAGGATTATTTGCAAGAAGGCTCTGCGGTGGTTTTCAGCAAGCATACGTACCGAGGTTGTATAATTACGCTGACTTTGAAAACACCGACAAGAAAACAACTTTAAATGCAGAGGAGGATGTAAAAGAAGATACAGGGGAGAAACAAAAGAGACAAAAGGAAACGTGTCTAAACAGAGTCGAGAAGGCTTTTGGGAAAACAATCGAGAGCGAAAGAATGAAAAGACGGAAAGCATGCTGAGAAGATTCTCTGCTAGACTTTCAAAAACAATCTTTTTTCTTTTTTTAAGCACTAAAGGAGTGTGTGTCTGTGCAGTCAGTTGATATTCCTAAACAGTGACGAGCTTTGCTTGTGTTGACAATAAGAGATCCTTTGAGGGAAGGATACATTTGTTTGCATGGTTTTTCATTCAGTGTGCTGCTGTGTGTACAGACCCCAAACCAGCTGATTATTAACCCCACAATGGCATTTAGTTACAAAGCAAAATATTGTTACGCGCTACAACAGCTTTAGCTTTTGAAATGAAGTGTTTGAATGATGTCATTTTCCTGCTTTTACAATGTTTACATGTTTTTTTGCAGCTTTTAAATGTTTTTTTAGGAAAATTCTGTAAAAACTGAAAATTCCTGATTTTTAAAAATGAGTTTAAATGAGAGTTACAGACATGCACCATCACTTCAGTCTAATCACTTCTTGCAGCACAAACCTGTAATGATTATATATAAACTACAGAAACATGAAACCAATAAAGTATCTGCTGTGATGATAAGAAAACGTGGTTTTAAACCAGCTGCAAGATAATAAATTTTTCATGTATTGAGTAAGTCTGGTTGTATGGACTTGTACAGGAACACAAAATCTGCTTACGTCTTGATTTAGGACCTCAGTAAACACTTTTCTAATGAGCTCATGGTCTCAGTTACCGGTTCCAAATTTCATACAAGCAATATGACCATTTTGTAAAGCATGGTCCCATTCAAGGTTAACGTAACAAACCAAAACTAAACTAAAAACTCAAACTAGGCCGTAAAAGATCACTGAAAAAAGGCACATGATATTGTATGATCAAAAGATAAAACTAAAATTTAAAAAAATTGCGGCAACTGTTTTTAATCTTTGTCAATCTGGTCAAATTTAGGATCAAACCAGTTTCTCAAAGCTTTCGTGGATTTGGGATGTCTTCATCGCTGTTTTGTTTTTATGCTGTAATAAATATTTTACCTTCTTAGATGTGTCCATGGAAAATATGACTTTTGCAATATGGTAATTAAAAAACAAAGCACAACAAAACAGAAGAACAATGAAAAGAAAAACTAACAAGATTAAAAAGTTCAAAGTTTTTAATCTTAACCTTAATCTTCAATCCAAACTAGTAAGACACAGGAAAAAAGGGGAAAACCCGAGAACAGTCCAAACGTCACACACAGTTTAATCAATAACTCAAGGAAAAAAAACCAAGAGGAACACCAGGAAATCAAGAAATGCTGAAATGATTGACTATTAAAAACAAGACAATCTGACAAAGAACTGGAGAATGAAACATGCTAGTTGGTGATTAACTGACTGAACACAGGAGCATAACCACGACTAGGAAACAGATGTGAAAGACGATTCTATTGATCAGGAAGGTGACAATTAGTGAAAATTACCAAAGTAAAACTAGAACCAGTGATTACAACAAAACAAAAGAAAAACATGACACAAAATGTGAGTTCACAAACACAGGGGTGCCAAAACAGTGTCTACAACTACGTTTTAAGTACAGTTTTCTGTTTGTATTCATTAAAGGGACTGATGTCTGTGACGCACATTTGAACTAACAGCTCTTTCATGAGTTTCACAGCACATTTTAAAACAAAAGTGCATTAACCGGGCTTCATAATCAGAAACCTGACCTCTAATGCAAGACGAGCAAGTACGTGGAGTACAGGGACATGTATGTTTCACATTTCTTTTCGCATGGCGCTATGACGTCTTGGAGTGCAATTACAGTCATTCATGTGTTGGCACAGAACTGCAAAGCAGTAAAGAACTGCAGCTCTGGAGATAATATTTCAGTCAGCATCTGTCTATAATCAAGATCGCCATCTGAGAGAAAAATTGATACTTTGAATCAACAGCAGGAACAAACATTTCAGAGACTGACAATAGAGAAGCCAGCAGTACAGTTTGTGATTTTCATATTGTACAGCACAGCTTGTGATGCACACACGTGAAGCTACACATACAAATAAAGACATTCATGGCTACTCAGTAATTATCCCGATCCTGCTGAGGAGCGAGTCAGAACGCACAAACAACACTTTAAAGCACAAATTTTCTTGGAAAATCAATCACTTGATAATACCTGCACCTCAGCAAGATGTAAACATGACGGCACGCTTCAGGGAAAAGGTCTAAAGCACCAGCTGGAGCTCTGGAGAGTACAGTAAACACTTCAGATCAATCACTTTTTTCTTTTAGCATTTTCTTTATAAAGTTTTTAAGGAAGTTGAGGCATAACCTAACACGAAAAGGTCTGAATCCCTCTTGGCAAAAAAACCAAAACAACAACAAAAAAAAAACCTTGGAAATCAGCAGCAGAAGCAAGGAGATATTTACAGATTTGTAGAACAGAGAGATCACTTTGGTAAATGTTTTTGAAAGTTGATGGATGAGTTCACACCGTCTGTGACAGCTGGGTTATTTTGATATATTGTCACCGTTGAAGCCAACATGATTTCTTCCCTTTTCTAAGCAAATCAAAGGAATGTTTGATCCAAGCGCAACAATTCATCCAAAAATAAATGTTCTAATATTTCCATTAAACTAAACATTTTTAGCAAAGCTTTAAACAGTTTAAAATTCTTGGGGTCCTGCACCGCCGTGCAGCGTGGGGTTTTTAATCATAAGACCAAGTGATCCAACAGCGCTCGGTGCTGTTCGATGCCCCGTGTTGCACTTTTCAGCCCTGCTGTAATCAGACACTCTGTATGTAACTGGGAGTTATGGCCTACAGGGGGTGGCATCCATAGAGTATGTCAGTAAATGTGTGCTTATGTCTCCATGGCGACACAGTTCATGGCAAACAGAGCGAGAGACAATCAAACGCTGCGGGCTGTGTTATTGTGCTGAGGGTACGAGGGCACAAAATTGCACTGAATTTAAATTGAGCCATTTTTTTATCAGACTTCTGAAGCATCAACAAATTGCCTCTTCGCTATGACTCACTGCACCAGTGTGAATTCATGTGCACCTATTATAGCAGTAATGTTTAGCCTTGGCTTTACGCAATAGTTATCAGCTGTATTAGCACTGCAATTCAAAAAGAGGAGGAACATTTATCCATAGCAATAATAGAAGACATGAGGACAGATCCCCGCTAGTTCAGTGGAGATGAATGTATTTGATTTGCACTGCTGTTAATACTGTTAATACATTTTTATACGTTGTCTTGGTTACACTGGATTGTCCACAGTAGGGCTGAGAATCAAAGAGTAACTCAATGCAGTACTGTCCCATTATGATGCTATTACAATATCCTGCAAGCCAATCATCTCTGATGTACAACTGCACAACTGCACAGTTGCACAATATCTGTGCGACTGTAAAATAGGCAAAAAGAAGGAATTATGTATTAACAGCTCTGCAGTATTGGTGTCTGTGTGTAATATTACTCATTACTGATTTCAGTAAAGTAGTAGTTTTTGTTCCCCGCCGATCCAGTATTTCTCATTGTCAATTCCTTCTTTTTCACAACAACTTCAATTTAATCTTCCTAAGCATTTATTTAATTACTACAACCATGAGGAGTCATAAAGGAGTCACTCTGCTAGGATAAAATGCCCGGGAATCGGATTAGGGCACCTGCCTGCTTTAAGAAAATATCAATATTTGGCGCCCGGGTATTGATGCTGTTATTGCAAGAGGAAATGATGCAATATTGATATTTGGTCCAATATTGCCCTTGTTTCCATTGGGATTGTTGGTTTAACAGTAAGTAGCAACAGCTTTGGAGACAATATTTCAGTCAGCATCTCTCTGTAATCAAAACCCCGGACAGACAAAAAGCGATGCTGTGAATCAGAAGCAGGAACAAAGATTTCAAAGCCTGATGTCGACGCCAGCAGCACTGTTTGTTTGGGATGTTTATATTATACGCGGCACAGTTTGCTTTTGTGATGCAGCCATGTGAAGCTACACATACAAATAAGTTTAGCAGCTTGTCCTTATTTCACCGTGTCGTTTCAGGTAATTTAACTTCCTCATTTTCTTCTTGCGCGTTTCTTTTTTTTTTTTTCACCCCACCTTTGCACTTTACCTTGATTATTTGCCAAGTGCCATCATGGCACGTCATGAAGTGGTGACCATGGTCAGAGAAACATTTGGGGAATCTATTTAGTGTATCTCTGTGATTGAAAGAATATAAACTTTGTTTGTTGTAACATTACTTCTTAGCAATAAATCTCATACCATCGTAAAGCTTTATATATCATATACCTTTAATTGATCACCTCATTCCTTTATTGTGAGTAACAAGGGAAAGTCTTAATATACACATTTTAATGTAAACAAGAATGTAATTATTGCAGTACCACTCCAGTCAAAAGGCAATTTACAATAGAAATGCATTTTATTCTTCATCAAACCCTAAGTACTAATTTAGCCATCTGTTGATTTCCATTTCCTTTTACCTTATGTTTTCTATTCTACCCTTAATATGAGATTTTATTGTTTTTAGCCTCATTTTGAGAAATAAAACTGTATCCACCTCTATTGTCAGATGCAGACATCTCTGATCATCAAAAACAATAAATACATGGAAAATAATTTAAAACATAAGCTCATTCTGCATGCATGTGACAGTGAAATCAACAAATATCACATCAACCAAACAGTCCTTGAAACCCAGAGAACATTTTGGGTTGCATCCTACCACTTTTAACTTCGCATTTTTTCAATCTGCTATAGAAGCTCCTTCATCACCTCTGCTTTTGTTCTTGCAGTCTTCTGCATTCTAATGTTCCTACTTGAACAAACATAAAGCCTCAGCAATTCCTATCATCACCTTCCTTCTTCTGCCAACCCGAGTGTCGTATAATGCATGGTCTCAGTGCATGAGCATGTGACTGACAAGTGGGAAGAAAGTATGATAACACACAATCATGAGTATGGATGTTTGTGTAATTTCTGTATATCTACACCATGTGTGTGTCTGTGTGTAGGTTTGTGTGTGAGCACAGAGACATGTTCAATACTTGTTTGCCTCTGCAATGCGTCAGGAACCCACATGCAAGCCCGGCTCCTGGCAGCACTTACAAGGCTTGTATGTTCTGCAAAACTGTGCCTCAAACACATGGCAGCCCTGTGCCTGGGAGCTGGCAACAATCTAATTCCCAATACTTTTGCCCATGCAAGCGCGTGTGTTTGTGTTAAAGAGAGACAGAGAGGGTTATTGTGTACTATTGGCAAATCCCTTTACTTTGTAGCTGTGATGAGTATATATGTATATACAGATCTGTGCCGTGGAACACAAACAGATGTCTTCTCTGCTAGAAGGTGGTGCGGTAGCCTCAGCATTAAAACCACTGGCAGGTCATTATATTGCGCAGCGCATTGTTCAGCTGGGAAACCTTGTTTGTTGGTATTTACTCAAGTGTAATTATGACAATTATGAAAATACATTTGGAGTTTTGTGCACTATTGCTTTGTATTATACTTATACACTTAGAACAAGCCTAAACATTATTTTTCAACAAAGCTCCCCCAATGGCAGCAGTTTCCCATAGTAGAACAACCTGCTCATGGCATCAGATCCCAAAGCACTGATCCAGCCTTCAAACTAGCAAGTCTAAATCCAATCCAGCATGTGTTTGTTGTGCCAGGGACAATCCAATACAGGGAAATCCCAGCCCAAAGCACGCACCCAAAGGATCCTCTGCCAACATCACACTGCCCTGGACACTGCCAGACAGCTCCTCTCCATGTCCCAGCTACTAAGAGCTGTTTTGGCATCACAACGAGACATAAAAACAATATTAGGGATTTTGCCTTTAATGTTAAGTACTGGTTTATGCATTTGTTCTATAAAAAAAAAAATCATATCAACATGTGCAGCCATGCTAAAATAGTGATATTTAAAAGTTATGTTTCGATGTTTACCAGTGAATAACAGCCCAGCGTTCAATGATTAGAGTTAATGGAAACCACAATAATTCTGGTGGGAACAGTAGATTTGCTCAAACACTTCTGAAAGGGGATGGGGTGACCACTTCTGAGGACCAAAAATGTTTGCCCAAACTCTACGGCAATCTAATTTTTGTTGAGATACTTCAGTCCAGACTAAAGATGGTGACCAACCTACAGGCTGAGACACTGTGTCAGCAATGCTACAGTCACACTGGAGAAAGCTGTGGGTGGAGACCGGAGCACAACCAAAATTACAGTGGCCATGTGCAATGAATTGTGATCTTGTTGCTTTTTCAATGGTTGCTGAAATTGAATAGTGTAAATGACCCACGGCAAACCCGATGATATTTACATGCTTTGCAGTATAATCTTTCTTAACACTCACGGTTGCTGTGCACAATCACACAGCTGCAGCTTTTCAGCTCAGCCAAACACTCCAACAACAACCGACAGGACCTAGGGCAGACTCTTTATGCCGTTGAGGTATGATTGCGGATGCCGCTCAGGTGCGTCCGCCTCCCCTGCAGCAGCACCGCAGACCACGCCCTTCAAGCTGGCAATTAGATGCAATCTGTTTGTGAGAATGTGATGACTGAATGTAGTAACTTGGCACAAATCTCAGATTTGTTTCCTTCTACATTTACAGTGCTCAGCCAAAGCACTCACAGATCTTACACAGAAAAGTCCCCCACAAATAGTGACGTAGCTTCAGCACGATGACGATCTAGCTGCAAAATGGCACAGGTGCTCAGCAGCTTTGGTTTTATATAGAAATATTACCAACAAGCTCACAAGTCCAATCATGTTGGACATGAGATTTTATAATCGGAATAACTGCAATCGTAGCACAAGCTAAACAAAATGCCATGACTTCACAGCATAACACAACATTTTGTGACTTCCTGATAATACAGAAACAAATGGCTGTGTAAAGGCGATGTCTATGGCAGCTAGCACAGAATAATAAATGCACGTCTTAAACTCCCTGTGGTGCGTTTATGTATTCATAGCACACACGGTAGCACAGACATACACACAGTCTACGTCACTCGTTATTCACACTAACACTCCCTTACACAGGGTTGCCGGCTGCTCGGATTTGACAGCAGAGGATCAAAGTGCTTCTCCATCAGCGTCTCTTTGAGGAAGGCGCTGCAGGTGCAGAGGATTTACCACAGAGAAAAGACCGATAAGTCCTCCCTGATATTCATAGTGCAAAATGAACAAAATGAGTACATGTCCTTCAAA